CTCACAGGTTTGCTTGAAGGTAAAAGGAGGAGAGGCTGGGAGGAGAAAAGAGAGGAACAGATAAGAGAGGCTGACAGGCTGAGGGCTGGGGATGTTCAGCCTGGAAAAGATTCCAGAGAGACCTTAAAGGTTCAGCCAGTGTCTGAAGGGGCTCCAGGAGAGCTAGAGAGGGACTTTGGACAAGGGATGGAGTGACAGGACAGGGGACAATGGCTTCAAACTGACAGAGGGCAGGGTTAGGTGAGATCTTAGAAAAATATTCTTCCCTGTGAGGGTGGTGAGGCCCTGGCACAGGGTACCCAGAGAAGCTGTGGCTGCCCCATCCATGCAAATGTTCCAGGACAGCTGAATGGAGCTTGGAGCAACCTGGGATGGTGGAAAGTTCCCTCCCCATGGCAGGGGCTTGGAATGAGATGGTCTTGAAGGTCCCTTCCAACCCAAACCATTCTGTGATCAGTAAAATGTTCCTACTGCCAGTGGTTCTGTTACCTTTGAGCCTGTAGACATTAATTCTTCTACTGTGCTTTAGCCATTAGTGTAAAGAATTTCTGACAACTCTCTTTCCCTTCTAATGGTCTTTGTAACTGTATGCCAGATGTAAACCTTTTTATGTAGGGAAAAAGCAAGATGGGGGAATGACAGAAAAAAAAGGCAACTTGAATGAAGATTTTAAGATGCTGAGTTAGATCTGCAGGTGCTGTGCTATCCCAGTGCTCAGAGCACTTGAGCTAATGCCATCTGGAGGAAGTTATTTGTTGGGACAGGACAGTGTTTGAAACTTTGAAGTCAGGAATAAACAAAGAAAAAGCAGCTGGAATCTGGCAGAAGAAGAAACAAGCCATTCCTATCAGCCTCTGGTATTAAAGGAATGAGACCATTGCACTGGAGTTGTTTTTACAATCTTGGGAGTTTATTCTTGCTCTTGAAGAGAGCTGCTTCAGTTGGGGAAGAGAGGGAGGATTGTTTTGAAATTTTAGGAAGCAACAGGTAGGTAATTACAGTAATTATGGTTCTGGTTTTATACTGAAAAATAACCTGGGTCCTGATCCTTCACACCCTACCTATTTATTGTCTTGATGGAGAGAGATGATTTACAAGGGCATGGACTGACAGGGCAAGGGGGAATGGCTTCAAAATGCAAGAGAGTAGGTTTAGATTAGATACTGGAAAAAAATTCTGGACTGTGAGGGTGGTGGGACATTGGCACAGAGTGCCCAGAGGAGCTGTGGCTGCTCCATCCCTGGCAGTGTTCCAGGCCAGGTTGGATTGGGCTTGGAAGAAGCTGGGGTAGTGGAAGGTGTCCCTGCCCTTGGCAGGGTTTGGAACTGGGTGATCTTTAAGGTCCCTTCCAACCCAAACCATTTTGTGATTCCATGATCACAATTTCACTTACAAGATATGGCTCTCTTTCATCCCCAGATAGATTTAAAATAGTTTTATTTCATATATGGACACCCAGTCAGAGGAGTTAAAGCACATGGTTTTCATTTGGCTTAAAAGTCAGACTTGTTTAGTCTTTTTATTTTGCCAAATAGAAAAATTCAAAAAGAAAGATTTTAAACATTTTTCTTTGTTCTTTCTGTTGCTATATGGTGTAAGTAACCAAACCTCCCTTTAGTGTGGTTAATTCCTTTTTCCTTTGGCACACATTCATGACACCCTTTGTATATGGCATATTCTGAGTGTGACAGTACCTCTTAGAGAAAAACTCCCTTCACAGGTCACTGGATGGTTGACACACCATTAATTTTTATGCTTCTGTTAAACAAAGGTCTGGAAATTAAGGACTGTACATGAATTTGTTACAGAGTGCCAAGAACAGGAAAAATCTCTGATCTGAAATGTGACCTTTTCCATCAGCAGGTCACCAAGATGTTTTCAGTCACTGATGAGTTTCTTCCAGCCAAGGACTCTCTTACCAAGAGTGTCAGTTTTCACAGTTCATAGGAATTTATTCTATTAGATGGTGACCATGAATTTGGAAAACTGGAGGTCACCTAAGGTCACATGCTCCATTTATTGGATTTTAACAAGAAAAATTTTTATAAATACACCTAACTACATGATTACAAAATTGTACTGAGTACTCCCAGAGCCTCTAAAAAAAAGGGGGGGAAAGCCATGAAGATTACCTGCCTGCTTGCCCTTTTGTGCTTTCTAAAGGAAAAAAAAAATAATTTCCATTTTTATGGTGTATCAAAAGATTTTAACCATTCTGGTAAGGAACTCAGTGTTGAAGAGGAAACCATCTTAATATTGGTTATGAGCTGCTCTCTGATGAGGGGAAGACATAAAATGGAATATCACATTATTAAAGAAGGAGCAGACCAGGGGCTATACAAGGATTTAAACCAGTCTGCCTCTATTTTTGTCTTTATTCCCAAACCCCTCCCTGGATGTGTATATAAAGTGTTTTATGCACTGGGTGTGCACGAGGTTACACTCAGCAAAAGGTAATAATGGTACAACACATGTGAGAGTAACTTGGTAGTTGTATTTTTGGGGCCAATGCAGAGTTTCAGGACTAGCAGCTTTCTATCCTGGGAAGTTACAGTCACGGAGCAGAATCTCCCATTTAGCTGAAATATGATATCCACAGTTTTTTCACAGTTAAAATGCTGAAAATCCATGTTCTGTATTTTCTGTGTGAATTTAACAAAGTCAGAGACTTCAGATTTCTGCCTTTAAAAAAGGGCAGTAGTGTTGACTTTGGGTATTTTTAAGTTAAAGATATTTTGATAGCTCAGGAAATCTTCTGTTGAGCAAGTAGATGGAATTACTATTTTTATTTTTTCTGTCTTTTAGCACTTTATAAGTATTGTAAAATTGGTCTGTAGTATATCTGTAAAATATATTAGAGTGTGTGTTAGAGGAATGCAGACTAATATGATACTTTCTTTTAGCACTCCCAGAATCAAAGACTTGAGAAGTTCCGACAGAGCCTTGGGATAAGGGAATATTACTTTCTTTTTTCCTTTCATTTTTTCTTTTTTTCTTTTTTTTCCTTTTTTTAACAAACCTGAAAACAGCTGTTGAAACAATGACATCATGGAATGTGATATGACTGTGGAAATTATTAAGAAAGTCAAGCTTTGAAAGCATCAAACTACATCTAGGGTTGGAGAGGGGTTTAGTGGAGGATGATTTGCCAGGTTTCCTTGGGCATTGCACAGTCACATCCTCACTGTGTCATTTCCATGTCTGACCAAACAAACCCTTGGCTTTTCTTCTCAGCAGCCTTTTTGTATCACACAAACACACCTACAGACTGGAATCCCAAAATCCCAGAATGTTTTGGGTTGGAAGGGACTTTAAAGCTCATCTCATTCCAACCCCCCTGCCATGGGCAGGGCACCTTCCACTGTCCCAGGGTACCCCAAGCCCTATCCAAGCTGGCCTTGGACACTTCCAGGGATCCAGGGGCAGCCACAGCTTCTCTGGGCACCCTGTGCCAGGGCCTCACACCCTCATCACCTCACCACCCTTCTTCCCAATATCCCATCTAACTCTGCTCTTTTGTTAGTTTAAAGCCACTCCCCCTTGTTCCATCACTCCATGCCCTTGTGGAAAATCCCTTTCCAGCTCTCTTCCACTTAGCTACTGGAAGGCTGCTCTAAGATCTCCCCATATCTTTTTCCTCTCCGGGTGATGTGCTGATTCCCTTGGGACACAAAAAATGCTCTTGAGCTCCTGCTGCCTTCCTGAACAGCAAGAGGCTGTGCTGGCACAGGTCACTGCCTGTCCTGCCTTTACTGTCTTGGGTCTCACTCCTGTTTGATTTCCCAGGCTGTTGGCTGCTGTTCTAGCAGGAAAATCACCAATGGAATTTTATTTTAGCAGTGGGGTTTTGTTTTAATTAGCCATTCGAAGCGTGCTTTGCTGCCAGTCAGATGAATGCAGATGACTGCTTCAGTGACATAGTAGATAATTAACTGGGCTGAAAGAAAGCCTGACTTTTTTGTTTTATTGGGAAAATAGTGTTTTAATTACCTAGTCTATCACAGAGGAAGGGAGAATTGTTACAGCTTATTGGAATAAGAACAAGCTCTAAGACTTTGCTGTTGTACATGGACTCAGATATGTTTCTTTTGCTTGTAGCTGCTGCACTTAAATGCCCCCAGGACAACTGAAATCTCAAAATGCTTTTTGTAGTTGAGTGCCAGTGCCATTTCTCCTGAGTTCCTTCATTGTCTATACCCTGATCCGTGACTTCCTCTCCTTGCTCCATGAATTGATTCATCTGGTCTCCTTCCTTTGGCTAAATACATTAATTTTTGCCCATGGCTTTTCTATGGATCCCATTCCAATGCTGTGGAAAACACCAGAAACACCAGTACATGTATTTGAAATTATTCTGGGCCTGCTGAAGATTATAGATCCATGTGTGGGTGTGGTGTAGCTGTATGTAAATACAGCCCAGTGTATCTATAGAACTCAAGTCCTTCCAGTACTTAAAGGGCATCCAAAAACCTGGAAAGGGACTTTATACAAGGGCAGGGACTGACAGGACAAAGGGGAATGGCTTGAAACTAACAGAGAGTAAGGTTAAATTGGAGATTAGGAAGAAATTCTTCCCTATGAGGATAGTGAGGCCCTGGCACAGTGAAACTGGGGCTGCCCCATCCCTGGAAGTGTTTCCAGCCAGGCTGGATGGGGCTTGGAGCAACCTGGGATAGTGGAAGGTGTCCCTGCCATGGCAAGGGCTTGGAATGAGATGGTGTTGAAGGTCCCTTCCAACCCAAACCCTTCTGTGATTCTGTATGTGCAGAAATTCATCCCTTTGTTGCCGGGTAAGGAGAGTTCTGCTGGCTAAAGCAGCACCCTCTGAAGTGCCTCAGAACTGTGGGCAGCAGGGGTGTCTGTACCTGCATTTCCATGGAAAATGGAAAAATGGAGATGATTTCAGAGTTCAGTCATTTGTCACAGACAGCAAATAATTACTTCAGTTTTCCTTATTACTTTTTCTCTTTTTCTTTCTTTCTTTTTTTTTTTTTTTTTAGGAGAGGATGGTGCCCCTCATCTGAATCCACATCTTTCTGCAGCAGGGGTGTCAGTGCAGCTGCCTGCCACGAGCACAGATAATGAAACACAGAGTCTGAGCAGTGCACGTGGAGAGTCAGATTCTTCAGGGACAGACACATTTTAAAGCTTAGGGCTGTTTATGGCAGTCTCTGTCTGAAGATGTTGTCACTGGTACGTTTGTCTGTCTAGTGTGATAGTCTGGCTGTTCCATCAAAATAACAGTCTTTCAGTACTGTTTATTTTCTACTATTTTTTCTTACAATTTTGTTATTATTTTAAATGATTTTGTCTGTGAATATATCAATTATTTTTGAGCAAATAAAATTTTTTTTTCCAGAATTGTCGTGAGTTGAAATCAATAAAGACCTTTTAAATATTTATTATTATAAGAGAATGTGGAAGTGGTTGGTATTAAAATCCACTGCAGAAGTGTGTCTCACTTATGAAAAACCTCTTGGCTCAGTATCACATCAGTACTGTGAAAATCTTGAGCCAAAGGGAAATGCATTTGGAGTCAAAGTCTGCAAGAGAAATTTCTCTTTCTAGGTATCATCAGAGGTTGTTCATCCTTAGAAGATCACTATGAACAAGCCAGTAATTCAAAACTGTGTGTGAAAAAGACCTCTAGAATTTGTATTGTTATTATGAAGAATTAATTTCTTTAGACTTAAAAGAATTTCTCAGCATTTCATGTTTGTTTCCTTAAAGATTTTTTCCACATCTTGAAGCATGTGAATGAGAGACTGTGTAAGTAAGGCTATTTCTTTACACTTCTAATGTAACTTTTTTTCCTTTCTCATGAGATAGAATTAATTCCTTCAGTCTCAGCCCTTCAGAATCCTGACAATCTCAGCTGGGAATGCCACAGTAATGGTTAACAGCAAGAGTGTATGGACACAGTGCCACTCTCCCAGAGCCTGCTCCACCTTTGTGGAGCCTCTGCCAGGACAAGGTGGTTAATCCAGCAGGAAGGTGGGACCACCTGTCCCAAACAGCATCCAAGCAAAATGAAAAACAGGAATTCAGATATGTTCCAGTAGAAAAACTGGGAAAGAAGCTGGTTCCTAAGCAAGGCAAACAAAGCTTTTGCTCTGTTCCTCATCACTTATGAGAGGCATTTGTTTATTGCAGATACTCATAACTATGAGCAGTTCCCATTACTCTTATTTTCTGGAGGCTGCACTGATTTCGTCTCTCCTTAACAGAGAAATATTAGAAGTTCCTTTTGGCTTTATGTTGATCTCATTGACCACAAGGTTCAGTTAATTTGCTGCAGCATCTGCAAGGGTAAATGGAAAAAGAGAGAGAGCTTCAGCCTCCAAGGTGAGTGATATCCCCAGGATTCAGCTTTCAAGGGTGTCCCTTAAGCACCTTGCAGAGTTGTGCCTGTCTGTTGTGACAGACACATAAATAGCAGATTTGGGTGGGGGTAAAAGAGTGTCAGGCTTTGTGCAAAATGCATCAGCACTTAAAAAGGAAAAGCACAAGTGAGAATTACAGAACCATGGAATGGTTTAGGTTGGAAGGAACCTTAAAGACCATCCAGTTCCAACCCCTGCCATGGCAGGGACACCTTCCACTCTCCCAGGGTGCTCCAAGCCCATCCAACCTGGCTTTGGACACTTCCCAGGGATCCAGGGGAAGGCACAGATTCTCTGAGCACCCTGTGCCAGGTCCTCACCACTCTCACAATCCAGAATTTGTTCCTAAGATGCAGTCTATGGGATGGCATCTCTGGGAGCTGGCTTCCAGCACGTGATGCCACAACCCCTGGCAGCAGCAGGGAGCTGCTTCTCAACGTCCTGGTGCTGTGATGAGGATCTGCACAGTGCTGCTCATTGCTGCTCTCTGTGGAACTGCACTTTAAATCCCACTATTGACCCAATCAATGCTTTCTGTAAACAACAGCTTCTCTGGGGAGGATGGAGACGTTCTTCTACTCTGCAGTAAAAGTTGCTACGACAAGTGATTGCACTAAAACAAGTGAGAGGATAAGGAAATGCAGTGGAGAGGGCAAGAGCTTCTTAAACTTAAAGCTTTCCTACAAGAGCAATCCTTCCTGGAGCTGTGTTCCAAGGGCTCTGTCAGTCTCCTGTAGGGCTGAGGGTGCTGATGTATAATTTAGGTCCCCTTTGTTGCAGTGTAAAGAGCAGTTGAGCTGTTCCTGTGCCCAGGGCTGCAAGGCTGGGTCAGGACTGTGCTTTGCCAAACAAAGTGCAGTAATTGAATTGAGAACATGCAGAGAGCTGACAGATGAGGGATGGGGATGGGATGGGAGGCAGCAGATGGATACACAGGCAAGGAGACTGTTTAGGAAAGGATGAGGCAGCCCAACCAGTGGGAGAGGCCATCAACTCATAATCCCAGGAAAATTACTGCATGGGGTTTTATTGTCAGCAATGCTGAGCATCTCACATTTTGTTCCAATTATCTTCTCTTGCAATTAATCAAAGGTGTTGTCATTGTCATTGACAGAATTGTGGAAAAATTTTGAGGAAAATATGTCAGGAAATGCCCAGTGAATACCACTTTCAGTCAGTTTTTTAAAATTCCCCACAGGGCTGTGTTCTCTCCCAGCTTGTCATGACTGACTGATCTTTTTGGAAGCTTCTGGGTTCCTGGCACTGAGCTTCAAAGATGTGCTGCTGGTGGGGATTACACCATGGATGGCAGTGGGATCTGCTAATCCTTCATCCCCACTGCAACCTCTGCTGTTCCTATTCAAAGAGCATTTGGGAGAGGTGAAAAAAGTGCAAACTCTTGGCTTTTCCTTCCTCCAGGCTTCCCCAAAACAACATGTCCTGCCACATAAACATAAGGGAACCTCTGTAAATCTGGCACTCCATGCATGGATCATATTACAATTCTTTGTATTCCTAGGAGAAGCCAGGGGGAGAAGGGAGGGCTGCTTTAGTTTTTATCTGAGTCTCCATTTTGACTTTGAAATGGGAAAAAAAAAAAAAAACCAAAACCATAAACATATCTTCTAGAAATTTATCTGTTTCTTACTTTTGGATTCAGTCTTGTATTTCAGGTTCCTGTAAGTAGTTTTCCGGAGTTGGAAATGGTAAGCACATGTTCTGTGAGCACAGCCAAGCCTTGATAAGGAATTTTTCTGTCTGCATCTCCAAGTTCCATTTTGTTTCTACAGCTTTTATGATTGAAAATGCACATTTCTCATGGGCACTCACGGAACTGAAACAGCGTGATTTGCAAGCTTGCTAAATGGATTTCTTCCAAGCCAGTCATTGGGGTGTCTCCATTTTGACTTTGAAATGGGGAAAAAAAACCAAAACCATAAACATATCTTCTAGAAATTTATCTGTTTCTTACTTTTGGATTCAGTCTTGTATTTCAGGTTCCTGTAAGTAGTTTTCCGGAGTTGGAAATGGTAAGCACATGTTCTGTGAGCACAGCCAAGCCTTGATAAGGAATTTTTCTGTCTGCATCTCCAAGTTCCATTTTGTTTCTACAGCTTTTATGATTGAAAATGCACATTTCTCATGGGCACTCACGGAACTGAAACAGCGTGATTTGCAAGCTTGCTAAATGGATTTCTTCCAAGCCAGTCATTGGGGTATGTCATCAAAGCTTTAACAGCATCAAATAGAATTCCATCCAGGAAAAGTATTAAAAAACCACCTCTGTACAGCTCTATTTTTCAGTTAAATCTCAGCAGCAGAGAGGTGAGGGGGTAGGAAGGGTGTTATTGGATTTCAGGGTTGTAGCGTGGAAACCAAACCCCTGGCTTTATATTTTGGTTTGAATTAATTCCTGGTGAAGTTTGCTCGTGTCTTAAATTGGGAAAGCTCTGGAACGAGGCTGTTTGTTCATGGATTGGACTGGCAGTGCTAGGAAAGCACGAAACTGAAATGTCAGAAGCTTTTATATTTGCAGAGAATCTTTTTCTGACTTTGATGAGGAAAATCTGGCATTTTGGAAGTGAGGTGCTCGAGAATCCATGGCTTTTTTCCCCTTTTTCTCCCCTTCCTGAAGATAAATGAGAGCTGCTGTATAGTGAGAGTGGTAGGACATGAGATTCCCTGGCATAGGGGGAGATCCCAGCTCCCAGGCCAGCCCTGGCTCTGGGGCAGGACTCCAGCTGGTGTCACCCTTCCCTGCTCAGCTCATCTGGGTTTTCAATATCAGAAGCAGAAAATGTCATGAGCACACTTCCATCTTATCTGAATTGTGGGAAACTGGATAAAAGTGAAGTTTTTGTTACTCCTGTTCATGGCTCAGAGATGGAAGTTGTCAAAATTAGCTGCTAAAAACATGAGCTGACCTTCCCAGGTGCTTTCTGATTTGCTGCAGGATAAGATTTCTGTCCTGATGGAGGAAAGATGTGTGTGCCAACCTCCTCCCAGTGGATTAAGCACTCAGATGTGTAAAATGACACATTTGCAAAAATTCTGTTGGATTCCAGTCTGAAATGCAGCCACAGAAGAGCTGGAACCCTGCAACTGTTTAACAGCTCACTGTGAACACCTGGCACGAGCACTGGGGGCAGGATTGCATCCTTTGGGATTGTTACAACATGGGAAATCCATCCTTCCCAGAGGTGTCCCAGTGGTGTTTTGTGTGTGGAACTGAAAGCTTCTGTATAAGCACTGAGAGATTTGCCTGCCTGGCAGGACTGTTCCTATGGAGATCTCTTTTTTATTCCCCTTTTTCTGCTGCACTCCTGATTTAGACGCATATCTTTCATAAGTTACCTCAAAATATTCATTTTTTGATTGTGTGTTGATGCCTCCCCCAGCCCTCCAGGACTTGGATGGGATTTTGGTTTTTTGCTCTTGTGAGTGTGGCCGGATCCCTTATCCAAATCTCAATGTTGTGGCTTCCTTGAGCCCGGTCAGGGAGCTGCAACAAAAGATTTTTCCAGAAATCCCAAATAAAATTATGGAAATCTCAGTGTGGTGGTGTGGCCAGCTGAGCAGAGGCCAGAATAAGGCCTGGGCTTTGTTCCTGTGATGGCAACAACACAAACCCACAGTCCGCTATCCATGTCTGCAGCTTTTGTTGTATTTTGGGTAGAAGGGGAGGCCTGGTTTTGTCTTTTGCTCTCGTTCTCTGCCTTGAGAGATGAGTACAGAAAGGGGATTCTTATAGTTCAGGGGTTATTTTGTTCTTTATACATTACTTCATATTTAGATTAAAATAGAGAAAGGAGAGAAAAGTCAAGAAGTGGAATCAGAAGCCTGTGAGGTGCCTTGATCATGGGGGAGGTAATTCTCATATATTTCCTGTGCAAAAAAGGGCCATTTTGGGAAGAGGTGCTTTTTCACCCCCTCTGCAGGGTTTACTTGGGGCAGAGAATTATTGTCC